CTGGGTTTCCAATCGCCCTAGCTGACTTTGCAGATTTCTGTCTATCAATCCAAACCTTTACTATTGCAAACAAAATACTTGAAGGTATTGGATAAATGCTAGCTTGCCATATGGCACCTACTGTACCTGTTATTCTTCTCCTTCAATTCCCTATCATTTGTTGCACTGACTTCTTAACGTTTGTCTTAAATTAGAAGTAGGGACCTTGTGTGAGTGCATGATGGGGTTAAATCCTTCACTCTTAACTCCATCTGAAATCAGTGGGATATTTGCCTCATTCATCTTAAAGGCAGAGCAAGGATGGTAGTTACTAGCCCATGCTTTGTAATTAACATGTTGGACCAGGATGTGTGTTACTTTGAAGTTATTGCTTTTAGGTTGTAAGTTTTTCCCATTTAGTCTTCAAGTGTATAAATCGTGAGCAGGGAGAATTATTGTAGTTTAAAAGGTTTAGACAAATAGCAGCTGGTATTGGTTTACAGTCTCCAATTGGTTCCAGACATCCTTTGTTTTGATAAGACTACAAGACAGTCCCTGAAATTCCCTGCCCACATCTTTTGCTAATGCCATTAAACGTAACATCATGATTACTGCTGCTTTTGGAGTTGATTAGCTAGCATCCTGCGTGGCTGATAAACACAGTCATGTAATTCTCCTGAAGATCCTGGCATCTCTTTCGGCCCCTCCCCATTTTTGCTTCTATTTATTTGAAGTCCATTTCTGTAGAAAGGCTTAAGAACGATTTTCAAAGGAGCTTAAGGAACTTTTGTTTCTGAATTCAATGACTAGCTAGGAGTTGGGGGCCTAAATCCCTGAGTATCCAGGATCATCCCGACTTGGTGCAAGTGTGGGATTTTTTTCACACTCAGCCTAACTTTGCCTTCCTTGAAAACTCTCAGGACTGCAATGGGAGCTGACTTAGGCCACAGCTGAACATTTTTGAAAATTCTGTTCTAATGCTATGTCTGTGCTGCAGTTGGAAGGTGTAATTCCCAGTATGTGTAAACTTACATAGGCTAACTCTGCTCAAGGTAGTATGCTAAAAATAGCAACCTTGCTGCGGCAGCTTGTGCTGCAGCTTGAGCTACTTGCTCATGTGCAATCCCATCCAAGACCCGAGGTATGCACTTGGCAAGCTAGCCCACACTGCTTTCTGTGCCACTGCTCTTTTGATCAGAACTTATGCATGTATTGCTAGCCAAGCTGGGAAGCACACCTTCCAGCTACAGCAAAAAGACAGACCTGAGCTTTTTATTGTGGAAAGCTTGGAACACATTTTCACTCTGTGTGGCCATCAGTGCATTGAGAGAGAAGACTGTTGTAGAACCACACATTATATTATCCTATCTGTGAAGCAGAGAGAGATGAAAAAGTGTCACATACTTAGAGTGTTTGGGGAAAGGAGTTGAAGTAAAGGGAAGTTTAAAGTAAAGAACAATCATAAAATAAATCCAGGGAAGAGTTCCTTGTAAGGATTTACCCGTAGGCATGCATACATATGTTGTTTCTGGGGAGACTGCACTAAGTATTTTCCTTATATGAAGAGTATCGCTCTGTCTTTTCTCTGTGTACATTTGTGTATCTCTTCTGTATGTAACCTAAAAACCCATTTTAAAGGTATAAAACTCAACATTTTTTTCTTTCTTGATTTACAGAACATAAATCTCTCTCTCACTCTCACACTCACACTCACACAACACAAAATTGGAGGCTGTCTTTGGGGCTTTGCATATAATGATGCAACTTTGTGAGCACTTGTGTAAGGGGAGAGGTGGAAGAATAATAACAGAGTAGCTCAATAACGGAGTAGCTCAGAATGAATCCAGAACATATAGTACAGCATTAGGCAACCTAGACTAGTGAGTAGGCCATGCGAGTGGCCCTCCTTCATCGCACTGGGCTACAGGATTGTTGCAACCAAGATTGTCTCCTAGGATAGGGTAGTTTTGCTAACTGCACTTGCACAACCAGCATGTGCAGGATGTGCTGACATTTTGATTGGATGCAGAGGGAGCACATGGCTCTCTCATCAATGTTGTGTGCAGTCAGCATGCACCTTGTTTCATGTGCTCTTGCTTTACATATGTGTAACTTTAGCAATATCGGTAGAACAAAACTACATGGGTGGAAACCAGCAGAATCTGGCACACTTGTGTGGTCTGTGAAAAGGAAACAAAATGTCTTGTGGGCCACATAAAGAACCTCAGTAGCTGCCTACAGTTGCCCACCACTGATTTAGTGGCTACTCACTCAGTTGCAGTACTTTCCTAGTACCACCGTTGCTCATCTTTCTTTATGACAAGGGGTCTGATGTACCTCTGCATTACATCATTTTTTTCACCCATGACATTAAGAGTTGCACTGGCATAAAACTAAAGCAATAGAGTAGTGCATTCAGCCCTTTCTGTTATCTGCAGGAGATGAAAAAAGACACCAGTCCCAAACACTGTTACAGGAAACTTTCTGTGGTGCCTCTACTTACAGAATAATTGCAACCGCAAGAAAGAGACTTAAAAAAAATCCATTACCGTGGGAAATGGTAATTTTCCTGTTCAATGAAGCACAGACATTAAAACAAACATTTGGAGAAAATAAAAAGGAGTGTGCATCAAACATGCTGGGACTGAACATCCCTACTTCTTCAGAATGAGTAATGTATTTTGAACTTCTGGTGTTCCACACAAGCATGCAACTGGCAACTCAAGGCTTGTCTACCTGAAGTATTTTTGCACAGGTGAAGCTATACTCCTCTCTCGCTCCCATGCAGGTGTGTCACATCATTCTAAAACAATGATTTATACTAACATGGCTTCTCGTGCTTTCCAACACCATTGCGAAAAAAATAGTGATGTAGATGAGCCACAAGAAATAAGGAAGCAGGGCAGGAGAAAAAGCAGTAACACTGTTCAGAGAGCTATTAGCAAGTTAAAGCAGAAATGAAAACCCTATTGCAAAAGTTAGGATATTGCATAGTTTATCCAGAACTACCTGTTTTATTTTTATTAGTGAATCATTTCCTTGGTTACATGACTTGTGTTTGTGTCACTCATAAAGTATTAAGGACTAGGAAAGGGTGACTTGTCTATGGATGACATTAACGTTAAACTGAGTTGTCCAAAAAGAAAATATTGTTGTTTCAGTATTTTCCTAAAGCTATACTTTCCCTATCCATGTGTGCTCTTTGTGAAGTGCATTCGGGAGAGCAGCATTCTGAAGGAGCCAAAAGAATTTAGCAGTGCAACAGACTGGGCAAAGAAGTCATTAATTTCTTTCTGATTTTTGGTGACATGATCAGATTTTTGCTTTGACTAACACATTTGTGTTGAAACTTAATCAGTACACTTATTAGCTTGTCCTGTGGGCAATAAACATTTGAAAGATACTTGTCCAGATTAAATTTTTAATAGCTTTCAGATTATAGGATTTTTCTAAGGGTATGTCTGCACTTAAAATGTTACAGAATCACAGAGATGCCACTGTAGTGCTTCAGTGTAGAAACTGCCTACACCCATAAGAGAGATTCTCCCATCACTGTAGGCAATCTACCTCCTGAAGAGGGGGTCACTAGAATTCTTCTGGTGTGCCAGCAGTATCTACCCGGGGACTTTCATCAGCTTAACTATGCCACTCAAGTTGGATTTTTCAAATTCCTGACCAATTTTCTAGTGTAGACTAGGCCTAAGTTTGGCCATGGTTAACTTGCAAAATACAGCTGCTCTTTTCTGTTGAATCATGTAATATATACACGTCATTCACACGCAGCCTGATTCTGCCTGCACTTACACCTCTTCAAATCAAGTCATTTACACCAGTGTCATTGAGAGCAAAATCTGGCCCACACGTGTTCAGAAAAGGTCTGTGCTTGCATACATACACACTAAGGATGTAAAAAGTCAGTTAAAAAGGGAACTACTGAAAATCTGAATGATTACATGTGCTGCAGGCTTATTGAAGCTTTATACTGCAGAGCCACAGCAAAGCAACTTCCTTGGGAGCTGCTGGCCCTGTTCCTGTTGAGGAGGCTTTGCGTGTAACCTTTGGAGCCAGTGTGTAACCTGTGGCAGGGGTGTGGACTAGGCCTAGCCCCTGCTTATGGTGGGCCACATGGGATTGGAGCAGTTCCTTTCCCATCCCGGCCAGATAACTTCTTCAACGCTTGCTGTTAAACCAGATCTGATATGTATTACCCATTTAGGCAAACTCCGGCTACTTATGTCTAGTATCCAGTCCAGCATTTGGATATTCAGTTTAAAAATTTATTCATATAAGTGCACACGCTTTGAACTCCTCAATTCAGGATTTGGGTACCTAATTTAGTTTAAAAATTGGACTCTCCGCGTACGTGTGTGTGTGTAAATATGTATTTAATATTGAATTAAGCAGACACTCTTCGCTACAGCAGGCTCTATATTGTATATAAGGCATATAATGTATTTAGTTCACATGTACGATATGATTAGGTATAGGAAATGTTTACTTCTTCATAGAACTAATGACCATAAATACTTGTGTTACCTGTTGTTACCTACCTCTTCTTTAGGGATGAGGGATTCAAAAGGAAGAGCACTAAAGAGCAGCAAAACCCATCAGCCTTGCTATTTGAATGATTGATTTAGCTGAGGCATGCAACTTGGTTTTAGGCAACCAAAAAGAATCTACACTCATAAAAATGTAGGAAACAAAATTAATCAATTTTCTTGAAATTTCAAGAACCACGAGGATTTGTTTTTGTGTAGAAGCTTCTGTGGGAAGCAAGCTACCCATGATATATTCATCTTGTCAGTATATATTTAAGACCACCAGCTTTGTTTTATTTCAAGCCATCTTTTGAATTGTTGTAACACAATATGACTAAATGTGTGTTGGCAGGGGGAAAACTAATCCATTCCATATACCTCCAGATGAAAGTAATTTACTAGAAGTTTGTGGCAGAGCTCGCATTTTCAGTAGGAACCTCAAAAACATTTTCCCTCTAATTGTCCCTCTTCGTATTTAAATAGATCCAGCAATGGGAGCAGAATCTAGAGAAATTTAACATGGACCTATTCAGGATGCGCTGCTACCTGGCGAGTCTGCAGGGTGGGGAGTTACCAAACCCTAAAAGCCTTCTCGCTGCCACCAGCCGTCCTTCAAAACTGGCACTGGGTAGACTGGGCATATTCTCAGTCTCATCCTTTCATGCACTGGTGAGTGTAACTGCACTTTTTGTATGACTCTGTTATAGAAGGGTATTGTTACCTTATCATTAGTGATTTATCTCTATGAACAGTAAAGCTAGGGAAGCTCACACATGCATGTGCACCCCATTAGTTCCTTGACTCGAGCAGTTTAGAAACTATTTTGCCCAGAGACTAATTTTGGGACCTGAAAGCATTGGGCCATGCTTTCTTTCACCCTCAATTTGGGGACTCTGAAATGTCGATGCTTATTACAGCTCTCTCTTATTAATAAAATAAGACCACCATGTAAGTTTCTGGTCCACTTCTTTGCAGAGATGAGCTTGCAAATGTAAACTTCTTATTGTGGAATGTTTGCCATGGTGATTTTTTTTTCTCCCTTAAATTCACAAGTCAACTTTTATATAAATTAAATCGGTCAAATTGAGGTGAAGGCTGGAGCCAATATTTTTAAAAGTGATTGGTGATTTGGGGCCCATTAGTGTTAGGCTTTTTTGTGATGAGCAGCTTGAAAGAGCCTGATTTTCAGAATATTCTGAGTACTTTCCATCTGAAAATGGGGCCTCTTTACGTTCTCAAGTTGTGCCCCCAAAAGTAGGGAGGTATCCAGAATCACTAGACACTTTTGAAAATCCTCATCCTCAATCTCTCTTACCCTCGTCAGAAATCGTAAGGCTGATCACAATGAACAGGATTGGATCATATTTGATGTGGTTAGGGAATGAGGGTGAAAGAGTTTTGAAGGTCCTCCTTGAAATGTTAAGACAAGGTCTGTCAGATGGGGACAATATCTTCCCTACCTTGACTTTTTTTTACATCCTATTTTTTCAGTTGTCACTTTGTGTTAATACAAAAAGGAGTAGCAGTGCAGAAGGTTTGATCCATTAGTCTGGGTCCATGTTGAGATAAACTCAAATAATTTGATGCCTCATTATAATTACTGTGGATTTACCTTGTTATGTGATTGAGATGTGAAAGCTTGTATGCATTTTAATAGATCTGCTCCAGGGACGAGGCTGCTCTCAGGAAACGAACACTCTCCTTGTCACAGAGGGTACGAAGTAAGAAGGGCTTATTTTCCTCACTCAAAGGGCTAGACACTTTGGCAAGAAAAGGGAAAGAAAAACGACCTTCAGTAAATCAGGTAAATGCCAGTTTAAAATCATTCAGAGACTTGCCTTTATCTTATAAATGACAGCAGTGTAAAATGAAGTTCCTGTTGCTGTGTGTGCACATTGCTGAATATGAGAGATTCTGACCCATGGGGTAGCAAGTTAGTGGCTCCAGACAAGCAAGGCCTGAGAATGTTGGGAGGGAAGGGGGCTCTGTCGGGGAGGTGGCGATTCCTGTATTGCTTTGGCGTGACCGCTTGTGGCAGACAGGCAAAGCAGCCCTGGTAGGTCTAATATCCTGGTACTCCTTCAGCCAGAGAGGGAAGAATGTGACGACATAGGGATCTAGATTTTCAGCTGGTGTAAATCAGCACAGCACCTCTTACTTCAAAGGAGTTACTTCAGTTTTCACCAGATGAGGATCTGGCTGAGATTTTCTGAATTCTACAGGCAGTATATGAGAGATGGATTAGGGGGTACCCTGAAAAACACAGACCAAAATTGGTGTTTAACTGTCATAAAGAAGGTGGGCTCATGCACACAGTCAGAACACTACTGTTTTCAGAAGCTTTCTGCATGTCAAACGTGTTAATAGGGCTCATTTTGTAAAACCAGCTACGTGGGTCATTCATTAATCCATATTATTTTTCTTTTGTTCCCTCAGTCTTGCATTTTGCTTTTATTAAACAAAAGTGCCTGAGCATGTAGCATTTGAAAATTGGCTGCTGCAAATATGCCAGCAATTTGCTTTCAGGCTTTTAAAACATGCTCATACATATTCCTATCACAATAGCCCCAGAGCTGATATATAGATTTAATATTGTACATTAATATGTCTGGGCTTTATGGTCTAGCAGTTCATATTCTGAATGGATAAATATTTATCTACTTGATAGACTAAGGGAGTAGTCTATTGGGTAGTTGCATATTTCAGCATATCAGAGAGATGTGCTTTCATGATGAACACAGTTAACAAATAATTGAGAGAGCCAAGCCTGACTGAGAACCTGCCTAATCTATAGGGCTGGGGAAGAGACACTGTGCATCCCCTGCCTTGGGCCCATACTTAATCACTATTGCTCCCTATCCTGACACCATATGACTCCCTTTCATGTCCCAGACCCTATAGAAGGGCCTTCATAGAGTTCAGAGGGGGGGATTGTGTCATCAAAGCATCACTCTTCTTTTGAGTGAAGGGGGGAAATCTGAACATGGAGAGGAGGGCCCCTTCATGCTCAGATTTATAGGCAACAATCTGGTCAAGAATGATCCTTTGATCACCCTTGCTGCAAGGGATTAATGCTAAAGGCTGGAACAAGCCGGCTCTAAATAAATCTCAATTTTCATACACTTTCTGAGGTTTTTAAAAATCTACGTCAATTTTTATTTAAAATTCTACTGGAAAGCCAAGAAAAAGTAAGCACTATGTACAGCATGTCAGTAATTCTAGGGCTCTGATTCAGGTCTGTAAGAGTGAAGAATTTAAGAATGATGGCAGAAATTTTGCCCCACTGACCTTCACAAGGTACCATAGTATTACATAGCTATACAGACAAATTTATTTTGGAGCCCATCCTACCTTCCTTGTGTATCTATTAAATGCAGTAGGCATTTGGGATGAGCAGAAGAGTATGACAGAGTGTGTGGCTATGTTCACAGTGCTGTTGTGCCTAATCATTAGATTGCGAGTTAGGAAGAGGCTGTCCTCTTTGGCTCTGAAATTCCTTTCTTTCATTGATTTTTTAACTCAATTTTTTGTGGTTCAAAGTACTCTAAGCAGAAAGTCAGATAGCATCGTCTTGAACCTTTCAAAAGTATTTTTTTATCTCCAGTCCAATTTTATTTTGTAGAATTAATTTAAAAGTCCACCATGGGAAGATTCCTGATGTAAAATGGAATGAAGAAGATAGTATTTTATTGCTCCATTGTTTAGAAACCAAGCAGTTACACAAACTGAATTCTGCCAGATGGGCAGTGTCAAAGCTCATGTTATCCCTGGTCTCTGAAATAGCTCCTCTTTCTTTGATTATAAATGTATTACAGCTCTGAGTGGGACCTGGCAAAGGAATCTCACAAGTGTTGCTGTGTGTTCACATTTCTGTGCTGCATCATGTGTGACATGCCAAGAGAAGAGTGTTTGGGATTGTCTTTTGTATCCTAAGACTTTAGCTGGGAGGATAAAAAAGACACTAACAAATAAGTTAATGTCTCATATTCTCCTACTTTGTTAATATCAGAAGTGAGCAAAAAATGATATTTTGTTTACAGATGCCTCGGGGACAGGGGTTTGGTCCTATTTCTTACAAGTGGGAAAGTCATGAATGATGACTAGTCGTCATCTGTCTAGATATTAATTTTTTTTAGCCTTGCAGCACCTCTGAGTTATGTAAGTTTTATCCACACTTTACAAATTGAACTTTAGCATTAATTTCTCTGTGCCTCAGTTCCCCATCTCTAATCTGGGGATAATACTCAGCTGCCATTGTCTATTACTATTTTTGCTTTCTTTTTTTATTAAGGTAAACTTCTCTGTGTTTCAGATATTCAATAAATAATAGTGACATGATTTTGAAGGTGTGATATTTTATAGGCTACCAGGACTGGTGGCTGTTGTCTGGAGGGTTAGTTTGCCACTTGAAAATTCTAGACAAATGCAATTTATCATGTGGATATAAACATATATAGATAAGAGCGAGGGAGAGAGTAAATGTGTGTGATGTGTGTATGGCCTTATAAGAGGAGTCTTGCTGCAGCATTAACAATGGAGAAAACATAGTGGTTGTCATAATACATTCCTAGTTAAAATAAAATGGTAACATGTCACAAACATTAACCTATTCTCAGATTCATTGATGGAATGATATTGTGTTACCTTTCATCTTTGTTTATTATTCGCAAGAGGGTTAGCTGTATTGGAAGCTAATATTACATGTTACATAGGACTTTGTTTATTTATCTGTCCATTTCTTTTAATTTAGATTTTTGATTCAACGGGGGGAAATGGATTAACAGGCACACAACTACTACAAAAATCATCCAGTTCTTCTGAGGTAAGATAAACTGGTCTTTGTACTGTATTGTTAAACTTCCTTTTAAAATTCTGAAGGGATGTTGCATGAGTAGGTGAAAAATGCTACTTCAGAAATGTTATTAACTATTCCCTGGTATTAGTTGAGAGAACCACAATTTGATTTATAAACTGTTAGGGAAAACACTTTAAATGTGTAAGGTTCTTCCTTAACTAAAACTTCCTATATCATCCTGATCAACAAGGATACATGTCTGTCAGTATCATGTGGGTGCGAGATAAACAGAGAGAGAATGCAAGAGAGAATCAGCAATTAGTTAATTTGCAAATTAGACCCATGGTATCTAACCAGTTCTGAAGCATAGCCACCATAGCGAACTAGCCACACTTAAACATCCCCAGCAGTAGGAATAGTGTACCCATTCTATCTAGGCACATAAACTGTGCTCACCTCTGTGGGACAGGGGTGGGCAAGACAACATCCATGGGCCGAATCCAGACCACCAAGTTGCTTGATCTGGCCCGCGGCTGCCCTGCTGAGCATTTCTTTTTTTTAGATTTCTAGCTCAATCGATATTTCTTTCTTTTCTGCTGTCTATATTTTCCTTGATAAAATCTTAATGAAATGTTCACCATCATCATGTAAACTAGAGTTCTTCTGGGAGATCTTATATTCTAATGCCAGACACATTATTTATGTAGCAAAACAGGCTACATCTCGACTGCAAGCTTGGACCTAGACCAGGGGTGGGTAAGACAGCCTCCGTGGGCCGAATCTGGCCTGCCAAGCTGCTTGATCTGGCCCGCGGCTGCCCTGCTGCTCCCCCGCCCTCAGGCCAATCGAGACCTGGGGGCAGGCAGAGTGTGTAAAGTCTCCTCCTCCCACCAGGGCGGAGGAGGGAGCTGCTAGCTGTTTTAAAACAGCTGGCGACTCTCTCTAGCTACCACATGCCTCTGGCAAGCGGGGGGGGGGGGGGATTCCCTCTACCCTCACTCCCTGGTTGGCCAGGAGGCAGGGAAGCAGTCAAAGTCTCCTCCTGCCATGCCACCTAGAGGGAACCGATTCTCTTTAGGCCCTGGGAGCAGGAGGGGGAGGGAGGCAGAGACTTCATGTGTTTCCACACCCCCTAGTCAATCAGAGTCTGTGTGCGAGGAAGCACAAGAAGTCTTCTTGCTCAGCCCCTTTCGCCCGGATCTGGGGTCAGTTCAGAAATTTGTGAAGTGGCCTCCCTTTAAAAATTATTGCCCCCCTCTGGACTAGACCAATCTATAATTGGATTTTTGCATGCCATTTGCCGCAGATTAGTTTGACAGAACCTATATATTTAAAAGGTTAAACTGTAATGTTTCACTGCCTGTATTTTCAGGTAGAAAGACATAGAATCAAATGTGGCTAGCTGTTGTGTAGTGTGAGAGGGGTTGTGGTGGAGGGCAATAGAATCCTTCCCCATTGCTGTTGTGGTTTGTCACAGTCCTCCTCTTTAATGCTTGCCACAGTGCAAGTCACTTAAAAGGAGGAGGTAGGTAACAGTGGCCTGACCTCTGCTGGCTGCACAATTGTCTAGGAATGGAAAAGGGCACATATGTTGTGCTGTACTGCCCCTGAAGTAGAGCAGTATCCTGCAGAACTTCCACAACCTACTCCTGACTAATTTGTTGCTAGTTGTATCTGCAGGTACCTTGAGGACGTAAAATCTATTGTAGAATCCGGGAGCTTCCTAGCTCTTCTGCCTTCTTAGGGTTATTCATATATTCCCCTCTAATTAATTAATTTAATCTTGTTGGTTGGCTTGTTTCTTTCATCTAACACTTAATTATCTGTTTAAATAGAAATGTTTTTACAAAACATGAGAGCTCTTAATTATTCTTCTAGCCTATCACATATCTGTGCATCTAAAAACAGTGGCAGCAAATTCTCTCAAGCTGCAGACCTTTGTTTCCTGTAAGGACAAAGCAAGTAAACGCCAAATCTCTGCCTTCCTGTTATACATGGCGAGGCAGTTCTCATTTGGATTAAAAGAGAGAGAAGGTAACATTATCCTTTGGTCAGGAAACTGGTTTGATCAAGTGATTAGAACATGGCACAAACTGGTTTCTTTTGACTGTGAATGGACCCTAGAGTGTTGTTATGTCTATGAAAATCATCTCTTGTGTTATTTGATGGAAAAAAATCTGTAAAAACAAATGTGGTCATTCAGCTGTTTAATGCCTGTTATTTGCTGAATACTCAGGGAGGAGGGGGAATGTTTATAGAAAGTCACCCCTTTCTTTTCATTAGGCAGTGAACATACATTGTAACTGTATAGGGTTTCTGGGCCAAATAAACTCCTATGGGGAACCCACTGAGTTCCTTCTGAATTATTCTATTGGGTGTGGTATGAGGTTTGCCTCCTTCCCCACAGATCTGATGTTAACAAATCTGTACTACAGAAACAAGACACAACATGGTTCTAGCCTCTAAACCTGAGCCTCCTGGTTTCTTTAGGTTCCCATGACAGCATGTCTCCTGAAGAAGCAATGCTGTTATGGCCCCCATGTCAGCCACTGACTTTAGCACCTCCTCTCTCTTTAACACCAAGGGATTGATTGTGCCATTGGTCTACCCTGAATAAAACAAAAGTGAATGTTGCAATACCTTCACAGAGCTGGGAGGGAAAGACATCAGACACCCATGTCTTTCTGTCAGTTGCCCATTCCTCCAAACGGGCAGAACCTGAAACATGCTGAGCATCCATGGAGTGGTTTTGCCGGGGTTGTAGGAAAGGAGTGAAATCTATGGCCTTTCTTTGCTATTTGATGCTACATTCATTGCATTTCCACTCATGGCAGCAGAGGGGTAACAAATTTAGTCTGCTAAATATGCAGACCTGGGGTGTTCGTTTCTTAAATTTGTTTTGGGGGTTCAAAATATGGTCTATGGATTTTTTTTAAATCCCAGAATTTTGATGACTCACAGAACAACTGAGACGTGATTCACAGTAACTCTCAAAATAGTTCAGTTTAGAATCAACCAAGTGTCATTAGCTATTTTCAAATGAAAAACAAAAATAGAATCCAAACCTTTCATATCATGCTTCTTCGTGAAATACAAGGAGTGGAGTGTTCAAGGCAGCTTTTTCTGAGGTGTTTCTTATGAAGACTGTGACAACAAACAGCAAGATGGGAAAATCATGAAGTATCCTACTGCTCCTCAAGCAACACTGTGGTATAGTGTATGACAGCCTGAAAGTCCTGGCACATGTTGCTGGAAAACTGGCTGGGTTGTTATAACTTTGTGGCAATGAATGAATGAAGTATTGTAGTATTAGTCACTGCAGGCATAAAAGAAAAAATATCTTTTTTAATGTCACAGTTTCTGAGATGGAAAATGTCTGTGAAGCAACGGTATCTTGACCACAGCTAAAGAATATATTTGTAGTTTAACACAGAAAAATTTAAGATTTCCTTACACCAAATACTTTGTATTGCTTATGTTTGGGCATCGCTATACATGGGGAACAGATTATTTTTATTCCTAGCAGTATATGTTGGTTAAAAAACACTTGACAATATAATTACAAGATATTGCGGGGGAGGGGAAGATATGTTTAAATAATGTTTTTCCCTTGCTCCTCTGTTAAGTTTTTTTTCTACCAATGACTGTGAGAGATTTGGTTGATTTATAATGGGCAAACTGAAGGGCTGCTGCTGATTTTCCTTCAATAATCCAATGGATAATTACAAACCATTGAATTGCTGTAGTATCTTCTGAGTTAACATGCAGGTTTTTTTTTTACCTTCCTCTCCAAGAAGCACACTGAGGCTAAGTCTAGACTGCAGTGATAAATCGGAAAAAGATATGCAATTTCTGGCATGCAAATTGTGTATCTTTTTCCGATTTACTTTCGAAAGAGGCTTTTCTACACGGTGCCAAATTTCAGAAAAAAAGTGCTTTCGACACATCCCTTATACCTCATAGACTGATGTTTACAGAGATGGCAAAAGAGCGCGTCCGCTTTTTCAAAAAAAATTTCGGAAAAGCAGACACATTCCTTGGACGCAGCATTGCTTTTCCGGGATACCTCTGGGTTAATTGCTGTTAATTCTTGCCAGCAATCTTTCTTGCTTTATCTCTTTGCCAGCATTTGTACAGTTGTAGGAGCTCATAGTTGATTCCTAGTTTCTTGACTTTTCAGAACTTTCTGATGTAAGCATAGTTATATAGGCATAATCATCTATAAGATAGCGACAGTTCTGTAGGAAGTATGGTACAGTAGCCAAAGGGGTGCAGAACTTCAGGGGTTATACATTGACATAGCTCCACTGACTACAATAAAGCTATGACAATTGACTCCAGCTGAGGCTCTGTCATTAGTATCATTTTTCTAGCTGACAGTTTGCCACTAGGGAAATGTGATTTCTTTTTTGAAAGGCATCAGCTCAGTACATCTTCCAAAAATGTCTGCAAAAACATTACTCTTTATAAAATAATTCCTGCTCCAGACTTCTCATCTGGCTGCAGCTTGAGTTTATGGATAATGTGGTAAATTCACTATTGTGGTTGTTTGATAAGCCGTTTTTACTGCTGTGATCGTCATGCATGTCAAGAATACCAATGACATTGTTATTTGTTGAGTGTGGTCATTATGTTTGGTGCTGTGCCAGCAGAGAGGAAAATGCCCAAGGCAGTTCCATTATAAGAATTCTACTGTGGCTTTTAATCACAGCCCTGCACTGGGCCCCTGGAGCTGCACAGACCCTGCAGGTGCTCCAGGAAGAATTGCATCTCCCAGAGTTTCCAAGCATACAGAAGGCATTCATAGACTTTTGTACCTCCCAGCAGAGAGGGCTGGTTTTGCTAGCTGCTAGAGTGGGTGGGGTCATGGCCTCTCCTCTTCTTCCCTCCCCCTTTGATGTGGCTATTCCATTGGTGCATGTACTTAACTCATAAGAGTCCTGGAAACTCTATTTATGGTTGTGTTCTTTCTCTTGTGCTCCCTCACAAAAATCCCCTCTGTTGTCTACATGTATATTGAGGCTAGCCACAATCTGGTTCAGAGTTCTGACAATACAGTAGTTGAAGGTCTAGTCTCAACACAGTGCTGTTGCAGCTGTATCTTTTTTTTCTCCTTTGGTGGATTGCTTTTGAAGCATCCAGAGTAAATTGTGGCACAGAAGAAATTGCAAAATGGAAAGGGATATTTAAGAGGGATCAAATGTTGTAAAAATGTATACAAAATGTTGTTGTGCCATGCATTACGTCCACATTAAAGTTGGTTGTGATTTGCCAGATGTACTTTGTGTTTAACTCTGAATTGAGCTTCAGTTTGAGCCTAAGTAATGAAAGATCAAATGCTCTTCACTAGCACACAACATATAATCTTAAACTATAGGTATTGCAAAAACAGTTTATGCCTTTGCTATGCTGTTTCACTGATGCGTCTTGCTCCATAGTGCCCTCTGCTGGAAGATTATTGGATTATCCTCTTTTTCTCATTAGAAATGAAGTAGAACCTGATAGTTACAAACTTGTTACAAACTGACCAATCAACCACAAATAGCTCCATTTGGAACCAAAAGTACGCCATAAGGCATCAGTAGAGCCCTGCCCAAAAGTAAATACTGAAAACTACTGCATTAAATGTAAACTACTAAAAATAAGGGGAAAGCAGCATGTTTCTTCTACATAATATTTCAAGCTGTATTAAGTCAATATTCAGTTGTAAAATTTTGGAAGAAAAATGCTTTATTCACAGTTATGAAAAAACCTCCATTCCTGAAGTGCTCATAAGTCTGAGGTTCTACTTTATAGTGATCTATTCAAAGTCTCTGATAAAATATGGTACTAATTATTTAATCCTGTTTAAGATCTGTTTCCATTTGTTTTACTAAGTGTGCCACATTCAGAGTTAATTTGAACTAGTAAGATAAGATAGGTGAGCAAAATAGTATCACTTGGTGCAACAGAAATAATATAATCCATTCTTTAGAAAAAATCTGGGCTAAAGTCAGAGACACTGTATGAGAACTGGTAACATAATTTATCCTTTTATGACAGGTGACATCTTTGAGAGAGATACACAGTACATATGTGTAGCAAACCTCCAGTGTAATACATTAGTTATATTTCCATGTTATCAATTTCTTCTTTCTTTTCAGCAGCAAGTTGATGAAATGTTGAATATCTACTGCTCTGCATCAGAAAGTGGCCAGAAAGAGAGCACTTGGGATATCCAAACATATGTTCATTTCTACGATAGGCTAGGAGTCACGTTAACCCTCAAGCCAGAACACAGAGTGGAAGATATTTTGTCTTTGGCTTGCAAGGTACAGAGTTCTCATACCTGAATGCCACTTGTGGGCATTAAAAGGCCGCCATTTTTACCTGTGTGTTAATTATGCTGATACAGAAACCGGGAGAGCCTAGTCTGTCTCTAAGTCCCAATATTCCTCCTGTGTATCTGTCTCAGTTCTTCCAGCTGTGCTGTTTAAATCTCACTGAATGGAGCCAAAAGCAGAAGTGCCATGGGGAGCCTTCCAAGCATAGCAGGGGCATTCTTTGATGCAGCCAAGAAAAAGCAGGAACAGCTGCACCTGTTAATCTACCCAGGAGCACTCTTGACATATCTCCAGTCTCCCTTATCTCGCTGAGTTGTTGCAATGAATCAAATTGTTCTATGAAAATTAGCTGTAGAGGAAGGATGGTAACTGGCCCAGTTACCTCTGATGTTAAAATGGCCCATTTTAAAAACTACTTCAACAGTTCATCTGAGTTTAATCATTATCATAATAAATAACTTAGCTTAATTAGAACCTAATTTCTTCAAATAGAGCCTCTGGTAATAGTTTAGTTCTTTTAACTATATGGAAAGTTTGAAGGTTCTGTGACACTCCATTGGTAAGATTATTTCAGACAAAGAAAAGACTGACACCAGTGTTAATTTCCTAAAGGACCAGATGTTTGTTTAATAAATTAGTTAATTGATTACTTACAAATTCTCAAAAATTTCAGCCTGTTCTTAGAATAAGAATTATAAGTTTGGGGAGGATACACTGTAGTTTTCATATGAAACAGAGGTTAAAGTCACTGTTTAAAGGAAAAATAGAACTCAGTCTTCACTGTGGAGCTACAACCAGAGCCTTCACAACACCAAAAATAGTTCAGCATTTTAGTGATCACTTGTGTCAATGGTCTGAAATGAGTTTGTGTGTCAAACCATTTTCCATTTATAATGAAATAAAACAATAATTTTGGGGGAAACCCTTGTTTTTAAAAGTCCTGTTAACTAAGAAATGTTATGTCCTAGTGACCTTACCTTCTGATTAAAAAACCCTTCACCTATTCTACATTAGACCACTGTGAAATTCCAAGAATGTTGATTTACTTGGCTGAAGTTAAGGAGTTCTGGGGATTCTAGCAGGAAGATAATCACAACTACTTTTACTCCATAATAGCTGAATAAAATAAAATTCATAAAATTATTTTGTTCTTCTAAGAAATCTGATATTATCTACATTTTCTAACTCGACACAAGGACAGTGATTCAGTGAAATCACAGTGAACCTACACATTATCACTAAAAAGATAGAATTCTGTCATTGCTCATGTTAGTCTGCTTTCCTCATGGATCATTGAGAAAGAAACGAGTCCTTAACTTAAAAAAAAGAATGATTCATCACCCCATTTGCAAAAGAGTAACGTTTCAGGAAAGAAGGTCTCGGCTATTATCCTACAAGACTTTGGTTGACCACAAGATGGCAAGACAGAGCTGAAACATTTGAAAATAAATTGACAATCTAACACATAGAAGCCATGCTAAAATAAATAAAGGGATATAGGGATATAAAATCAAGTTTAAAAGTAAATTACTCGTCTTCCTTATTACAGAGCTCCAAAATGTGTGTGTCTGTCTATAGAACATTTATGCAAATATGAAATGTTTTGTTATGCCTTTAATCACTTTGGTTGTCTAGCAGTAAGTTATTTTATTTAATTATTTTCCTTTGATGAAACCTGTGTCTGTTTTATCTTTTTTCTTTCTATTCTGTTGGGTTTTATTTAATTTTTTTGATGAAACCTGTTTCTATTTTATTTTTTTGCTTTCTATTCTGTATGTAAAGTTTTTCATAGGCAGTCTAATACTGACTCCTTTTTGCTACATTTTTTCTGGCTCTTTTTCCTTCTTACATTGCCATTCCATTTTGGTGAGGGTAAGGAATCTTCATTCTTTAACACAACACATTGTTTCAAAGTGTGTGTGGGGCGGGGGGGGGGAGAAAATCTGGAAAAAAAAAATTTCAACCATAGTTCAATATCTTCACTTGTTTGTATTTGGCATACCTAAACACGTGGGTAATACACAGAGAGAATATGCATTTTCATATAATTATTTAGAATACAAAGCACACATTACCTGTACAGTCTATTACACATGAAAATAGTCAGTGAAACAGTCTGTTCTCAGGGGATTAAGATTTCACAAACTTCAGAGGCCTGTTAGTGTTGAAATGATCAGAATGGATGCAGAGCCACTTTCTGTTCTGACACACTGCTCTATTACTAGTAATATTCTGAAATGCAAGATTTGCTTCAGTAATCTCAGCAGGGAGCTGAATCTAATAGACTCACCAGAGGCTCATCTCTTTTAGGCTAGTATATCCTTAGAGAGTAGTTCCATTCCCCTTTGACTTCCTGCAGATATTAGGTTTTCTCTTCAATCACATATGATGAAAAGTAGGTGTTATTCACTGATCATAGATGAAACTGGGCAGTAAAAAGTCCAATAAAAGCAATCTTAGGGAAACCCTCTCTCCTAAGAAGCTGTATGTGCACATGCATTTTCTGCCTCAGAGGTGCAGGTTCTGTGTGTAGAACTGAGCAATGCAGAAGAGCCATAGAAAATGATGAAGATGTGTGTAACTTCACAAGGACGGAGCATAGTTCTAAGTGTATTTGAAAGTACATGATGTTTGGTTAATCTAACAGACAAGATGTAATGAAAATGCAATTGTTTCCTGAGTGTCCTTTCAAGAAACTCAAGTATCAGAGGGGTAGCCATGCATCTGACGAAGTGGGTCTTGGCCCACGAAAGCTTATGCGCCAACACTTCACTTAGTCGATAAGGTGCCACAGGACTCCTCGCCGCTCTTACAAGAAATTGAAAATTACACTGATGTGAACTGGAACCATGTCATCTAGGGAATACAGACAATAAATCACAAAACCATTTAGAAGATAACTTGTTGAGGATTGCCTTTGCATAACTGCTAAAGGCTTTCTGTGTGTCACATCTTTGAGATCTGGAATTCTGAAATAAATTGTGAATTTGAGATGTGTCCTTTTTATCTCTTAGATGAGGCAGCTGGAACCAAAACACTATGGTCTACAACTTAGAAGATTAGTAGATGAAAATAACGAGTATTGTATTCCTGAAGCATATGAATACATACAAGATCAGGCAAGTTTGACCAATTTTACATCAGAACTTCCCGATCATTTTAGCCACAGCTAAATTTTCTACCATATATTTGGGAAAGTTTGTTGTCTATCTGTCTGCTTATTCAAGAACTCCTCCTAAACAATAAGAGCTAGGACCACCAAATTTGGGATGCAGCTTCATCTTATCTTAGCAAGGTGAGGATTTGGTTCTGTCAGTAAAATGGGATATGTCTGGAATGAAATTGCATCTCATAAAACCATACAGAAAAGAGATGGAATCACCAGGCAGGTGAAAAGGGGCCTGCCCTCCCACCTGTGGCTGGGACTGTCCTGGGATTGCACCCGCCCTGAGCTTCTCCTCCTTTCCCCCCCTCTGCTGCTGTTTTAAATACAGGACTGCTCCATGTGCCTCTCTGCTCTGGAGGGAGGGGAAAGCTTCATGTGATCTCCCGCCCCCAACCTAACCAAAAAAAGTTTGCCCATCCCTGCAATAGGTAATATTATTTTCCACAGTTAGGTCCACAGAGTTTAGTGATACTTGCAGCATAACACATTTTTCTAATGTGAGTAAAGGTGGCATAATCCAGCCCTTTGTTTATGGATTATTTAACAATACACCTTATTTTTTAAATTAAATCTATACTGATTTCAATGACGTATAGAACATTTGGCTTTTCCAGCTCTACAGTTTCACAGTTGAATAATTTGTGATGTTTTCTCTCACACAGATATATGATGAAATAGAAATTTTTCCTTTAAATATTTACCATGTTCATCTTACTAAGACGGAGAACATAACTGATTTTGGTAAGTCCTAGTGTAATGCCAACGGGTGGAAATGAACCTGGGACCTCTGGAGCATAGTGCATGAACCTTTGCAGGCTGGGCTATAGAGCTGGTTCTTAGGTGAGGCTGTAGAGCAAACTCATTCTTTTTTTTCTGCAAATGGTTTACGTGGCACTACATGGGATGATAGGTTTGTGGATTACACTAGTAAAATCCCTTCCAATGATTTTCCTTTTCCTTCTCCTTTGAAGCTTAATTTTTCCTTCCAGGAGCTTTCTGTTTAACAACTTTTGGGCTACTATAGAACTAGAGATGGGTCAGTATGGCAAGTTTGCAAAGTGCATAAGTTAGCACTTTAAGGAAAACCCAAGAATTGCTCCCCATTTGACATTGCTGACCTTTTATCTTTTTTTACTCCTGGATTTGGAGGAGCAAGTAAAAGCCTTACTTCCCCATGCCACTTCATTGACCAGCCAGTAAGGGAGTTGCTGAAGAGTTGGCAGCCAACTTTCTCTTGCTCAACTAAATAGAAATACACAGCCCACTCTGAAAGTATGATTTCCTTTTTGGCAGCAAAACATACTGTTTAGGCTGGGCCAACAAGCTGTCAGTCGACAGAAATTTTAACGGGCTTATTTTCCCTGTGGTAGGTAATTCCGAAGACTATCAATATGTTTACTCATTGTAAAATGTGGCTTTTAGTCATTTAGGTAACAAGAATGAGCAAGGCAGTGAAGAAAAAAAGGAAGGTAGATAATATAGTAGAAAGAGAAATAGGAACAGAAAAAAAATTGGGGTCCTAATTCACTTCCATTCAGGCCAATTCATTCCCAGTAAGGCAGTCTTTCCATTGATTTTAAGAAAATGTCTATATGGTGCATTTAATTTACACCAGAGAGGGGTACATTCTAGCACACTAACTGGCCCACATGGACCTGTCTAGTGCTCAAGTTCTAATGTTCCAGTAAATGTAGTCTTCTTTCAGTATTATAATTACACATGCTAGGGAATTTTTAGTGTGTATTTGCAGGATCCACATGGTCTAATTAATGCATGAGGTGTTAGTGTGCACTAGAATTTACAACCCTCCAGTGTGCACTAACACACAACGTAGACAAGCTGTGATATGAGTTGTATTGGGTCTGATATTATAGTCTCCCTGGGTCAGGAACTGAAACCAGAAATTGGTATGAGAAAAAGAAAATGGAGAATTTTCATGGCATTGCAAATGAACTCCTTTACCTTCATGTTGACTTCTGATCTCACCCACCTCCTTGTTTGAAGTATTCTCAGCTAGAGAAAGGAGGCAGCTCTTTGGGGCAAGGACTTTATTTTTGTAATGTTTGTACAGCAGCCATCAAAATGAGGGCCTAATTTTGACAGGATCAAGTTGCACACCAAAATGGATTATTAACATGCAAAAATGGTGCATGTCTTCAGAATCTTTTATCTCCCAATTTTTTACAAGAAATCATATAAAATCCTCACAATATTTGTCCAAGTATTTTATAGAGATTCACTGAACCAGGTGATCTGTTACTGAAATGCTATATTGAGCTGCCTTTGAAAAACAATAAAATATCTCATAACTGCTTACATGCTTTTAAGAGTAAAGAAATTTGCATGAGAAAATTTGTCCTTGCAGTGTGGGTCTGCATATACACATGTGTATTTATAAGTTGTGTGTCAGAAATGTGACACCTCTTTGATTATATATATTAAATTTGCTCAATATACAAAACTAAATGAGAAATTCCTGTAAAAAAAAATCACCTCATCATTATTTGAAGCAGACCAAGTGATGAGGGTAAAACGATCTTTCTTCTTAATTCCAGGGTTTGCAGTCACAGCTCAAGTTGTTGAAAACCAGCATCTCACTCATATATTCATAAGTGATGTCCTCCCAGATGGGCTGGCTTACAAAGAAGGTTTGTGTCATTACTTATTAAGCGACTGTCTTATTAAGTAGCAAACTTCAGGAAATTGTATAATTATTGTCTGAGCTCTGCTTTTAATATTCTTGATCATCTTGCTTGTTCACCATGGATAGTAGATGATGCTAGGTTAGATAATTCACATAAAGCTATCAAGGAACTTTTTTAACAAGTAGTAAAGTGAGAAGAATGTCTTGTCTACACTTTGGGAAAATTCTGCTTCCAGACTAAACATTGAGATTTGCACAGGGACAGGAGAGAAAAAAAAAACTCCACCTCCCGTGTGGAACCTTCTGGTTTGAATTAGACTTCATGGCTCTTAGCTTTCCTTTTGCCCACAATAATCACTGGGAACAGGCTGGCTCCCAAAGAACTATCTTGTGCTTTATATTGCAGGGTACCACTGACATGTTCTACTTTGTGGTTCTCAGGCGCTTAAGGTCGTTACCTTCCCTCCACATTGCTGAAACATTGATTTTGCTGTATTGTGGCCATCTGCAAAGGAAGGGGAGAATTGTTCCCTTAGTCATTTGGGGCACGTCTATACAGTAGAGCCAAAGCCAAAATAAGCTATGCAATTTGAGCTATGTCAATTGCATAGTTTAAGTCAAAATAGCTTATTTCAGCTTTTGGTGCTATCTATACAGCAGGAAGAGAGAGCGCTCTTCCTCCAACTTTCGTTACTCCTCATACAATGAGGGTTACAGGAGTTGGAGTAAGAAGTCCTCCAGTTCGACGACATGTCGACATTGTATTGAAATAACTGCTTGCTGTGTGGATGCGGATTATGTTATTTTGGAATGAGGTCAGTTATTCCGAAATAATGCTGCTATGTAGACATAGCCTTGGAGAGCAACAGCCAAATGGCTGTTATTGATCCTGAAACGTACAGTGGTCACTATTTGGCTCTAGCTGAATTTTCCTGTAAAAAAACCTCACTTGTTAGATTTCCCTGTAGCAATTTTGTAAGAATAAACAAATCAACCTATAAATCCCCTGGGCTACGTCTACACTGGCCCCTTTTCCGGAAGGGGCATGTAAATTTCACCAGTCGTCGTAGGGAAATCCGCGGGGGATTTAAATATCCCCCGCGGCATTTAAATAAAAATGTCCGCCGCTTTTTTCCGGCTTTTAAAAAAGCCGGAAAAGAGCGTCTAGACTGGCCCCGATCCTCCGGAAAAAGTGCCCTTTTCCAGAGGCTCTTATTCCTACTTGAGGAGAGGCTGAGGGAGTTGGGTCTGTTTAGTCTGGAGAAGCGAAGAGTGAGGGGGGATATGATAGCAGCTTAAATGCCGCGGGGGATATTTAAATCCCCCGCGGATTTCCCTACGATGACTGGTGAAATTTACATGCCCCTTCCGGAAAAGGGGCCAGTGTAGACGTAGCCCTTGTGTTTCCCCAATTGGGAGCTGTTTTGCCTATAGGCTAGCCACATGCCAAAGGCCACCTTAAAATGAACTCATGGTCTGAGAATCTGAGTGATTCTTCTATCAAACCCTTTTCTAAAGCTGCACATCAGAGTCTTCCTACTTCAGGTTTTGTCTCCACTTGCTGGAGGATTGACACTCTGGTGATCAATCCTCTGGAGTTCAATTTAGCAAGTAAAGACCCACTAAATCGAATGCAGAGGGAGCCCTGGTAGGCAGCCTGTACTTCTTGCTGTCACGAGGAGTAAGGGAAGTTGACGGAGCATTTCTTCTGTCGACCTCCGGCTGGGGGGATGCCCCAGAAAATCGGTGCAAGGGATGTTGACTCCAGCTACTCAATTCACGTAGTTGGAGTTGCATTTCTTGAATCAATTTTCCCCGCTTGTGTAGACCTGGCCTCAGTCTTTGAGTAGAAACAGCTATGTCATAGGTGACACAACAAATAACCAATCCTGCAGTCATGACGCATGCAGAAAACTCCCACTGAATGCAGTAAAATAACGGCAGGATTAAGTCATTTATCTAAATATATATAGTGAAAACGCAATGAAGCTTGTTTTGTAGCCCTGTTCACCAGCATACCTATGTATCCTGCTTCTTTTTTTTTTTTTTTTTCCTTTCTCATTCTTGCAGGGCTGAGAGTGGGCAATGAAATCTTGATTATAAATGGAGAGGCTGTGTCTGATCTTGACCTCAGGCAGATGGAACTATTGTTTTCAGAGAGAAGTGTCATGCTCACAGTGAGAACAAGTCATGGCCCTAAGCAAGCATCATGTATGACATGGTCAGATGGCGTGATTTCCATGGACCCTAAAAATTTGTTGCCCCCTCCTAACCAGTCACAGCTCCTAGAAGAATTTCTGGATAACTTGAAAAAGAATACAGCAAATGGTGAGGAAATGATTATGGTTGTACTACTTCCCCTCTGCCAGTCTGTTACTTTGAAGCTACTGCTTTTTTTCTGTTTTTTAATGCATTTAAAAATTGTCCTAATGCTACAAGAGAGAAATCCAGATAAAAACTCTGTTAAATCCATTTAAATTTCATGCATTTCTGTGATTATAGTGATTTCCTCCGAGGGGCAATGAAAAAATAGATGATCACTTATGCAAGAAAGAAATGTTTTTAACCAGTTCCACTGAATCATTCCAGTAATGCTGAGTACTCTGCTTTGCGATGTCAAGATTACCCATTATAATCCTAACAACATCATGTTCTCATTAGGCCTCTGGCATTTAGGGCAGTGATGAAGCTTCAGAACTCCTATTTGCTTCTGGCAAGTCTTTCAATGGTTTCCCGGTTGTGCTTCAGATTTTTTTAGTTCGGCTTCCTCTGCTCTTTGCCATGTTGATTTTACTTGCCTTCACGTGTTCATCTTATTGCTTATTCTGTTCCATGATCATTCCTGTGCAGAGGATAGATTTATTGACATGGTACTCAGCCTGCACAAGGTTTCTGCCATTGGACAGGTTTTGAGTCTTGAGGGAAATGTCCGTATTTTCCCCTGGCAATGGCCAGTGTGTGCCTGCACCTACTAGGCCATATGGTGGCATGCCCCGGTAGTAGTGACTGACGTTGACCTATTTCGAGTCCAGGGACCACACAGATGGTACTCGCCTTGCCATGGTGGTGGACTGAGAGCAAGAATGTCCTGGAAGGAGTCCATGTTCCCTCAGTTGAGTTGGTGTTGTGCACCGGGTGGGATGCACACCTCAGAAGTTTCCAGACTAAAGGTATGTGGTCCCCAGAGGAGGGCAATGTTGTACATAAATTTTCAAAGAGCCCAGAGAAGTCCGGTTGGCCTGAGAAGTCTTCCTGCCTCACCTGTTGGGCCAAGTGATGAGAGCCCCAACAGACAGCACAGCCTCAATGTTCTACATTAACAGACAAGGGGGAGCACATTTGTCAGGGCTCTGTGAAAAGGCCTTCTGACTCTGGGACTTCTGCATCAGACAGAACATCCATCTGGAAGCCTTTCACCTCCCAGGATTAAGAAATGCTGAGGTGATTCACCAGGGCAGGGACTTCTCCTGTCATTGCAAGTCGTCACTCCACCCAGACGTGGCCTATGCAATCTTCCAGAGGTGGAGAACTCCCCGAGTGGATCTGTTCACCCACCCCCAGGCAAAACAGAAATTCCATTATTTTTTCTCCTGGCAGGGCCTAAGGAAAGGCTCCTGCTCCAACGGTTTTCTTCTGACCTGGTCAGGAGTCCGACATACGGATTCCCTCCAATCCCTCTCATCAGCAGGGCCCTAATAAAGATCAAGAGGGACAAAGTGCCAGTTGTTGTGGTTGCCCCAGAATCAGTGCTGCTGGTTCATCACTTTTGTGAGTATGGCAACGGCCCCTCTCTGGACCCTTCTGATCTGTCTGGATCTGCTGTCCCATGAGCACAATCTGCCCCTTCTCCCCAGCCTTTCTTGACTCTCTTCTCTTCTTGGTGTGGATGCTCTGAGGTTGAATCAGAGGAGCACACCTGCTTGGAGGGAGATCGCGCAAGTTCTCCTGGGAAGCAGGAAGCCATTCATAATGCTAACTGACCTAAGTGGATGAGGTTTTCTTATTGGATATCTGAGTGCAGCATTTCTCCCTCGTGTCCTTTGTGCAGTCCCATCTTAAGTGTTGCTCATGTCCATTCCACAATGTGCTCTTCATCCCCATTGTCAGAATTTCCAGAAAGAACGAACTGAAGGCAGGGGATGCCTCTCCTACCATGACATGAAGGTTCCCCTCCTGGGGGCACCAGAGCCACTCCCTTGCAGATATTGGTTAGGTGGAAAAGCTTCTGGCACCAATGCATGAGGTGAGTACGCATATGTAATGTGGAACAGACATGAGCAACACATCTGGAAGAACACCAGTTATAGAAACATGTAACTGTCCCTTTTTGTCTAACTAGGGGTGAGTGGGGACCACAGAATTTGGCCTTTTGTGAACTGACACATTCTATCAAATGCCACATCACAAATAAGCAGTGTAAATATCACTATGTTTGAGACTGCCGTGCTTCACCCTCCCTCCTCCCCATCCGCCCCTCCAACTGTGGTGGATCTGGCTGGAGTGGCTCTCCCTCCAGCCCCTGTTTTAAGTGGATAACCAGTTAACTGATTAAATGAGATTTTACGTCCCTACTTGGAGAAATGTGTTTTGTGATGTCAGCATGTTTTTAAGATACTGCCTGAAATACTTTATATTTTGGAGGGATTTTCTCATTTAGACAGTTGTACATGTGAGATATAAGCAGATTTAACTTAATGTACTGTATCATGAATGGGGAAAAAAGAAGATGCAGTTCCCTCTTTATACCTCTGGAGGGTTCTATTAAAAATCCACGGGAAGCCTAGTTCAGGGTCACTGCTACCTGAGAGAAAGGAAGTCATCTTTGTGCTTAATTGTGGTAGCAAGTGTTTTCTGATCTTAATCTTGACATGATTAAAAAGAATAAAAAAATCACAAAAGATAAGTTGTTAGGATGAATTTAATTATAAAGTAACCTTATACAGTCATCTTTGAAGTAAAAAAATCTGATTACCATAAGTTTGTAATACCATAAGTAGCATCTCTCTCGGGCCCTAGTTCAATTAAAAATACCGTTAACTTGACTATTGGCATGTAAATGTTAGTGTCATAAAACACATTATGATGGAAATATTTAATTAATTATATTAGGACCACCATCACTCAGCTTGTTTGTCTTGCTAGTCTGGAATTACCTGGAGTATTCAGTATAATAAACACACGTGTCCATTTACCAGTTTCAATATTTTTCAGAGACAAATTTGCAACCTCTGTGAGTGTCTGCCATTCATATCATAAAGGGACAATCTAAGATGACTGTCTAGTAACACTTACAAAAAACTCGCCTGATCCATAGTGTTTCTCATTTTCAGAGCCTTGTATGTGTCACATTATAACAGTGTAGAGAAAGTGAGTTGGGAAAAACTTCAAGCTGATAAGCTCATTGCTTCCGGTAGCAGACTCTTGACTGAAGCACTGGCTTTTGCCAGTTTCACAGCAGCCCACGTCTCTTTCTGTCTCCCTCCATCTGTTGATTCAGATCTTTCAGTAAATCTGTGAAACGTTCGTCATTTACACTGAGGGCTTTTTCTAAAACACTGTGTTGAAATGAAAATATATAGAATTACCCCAATGTTAATATTTACATAATTTCGTTCTTCCTGAAGAAATTACCTTGTTTCTGAATCTTTTGCTGATTCTCTGATCTGTGTTACTAATTTAAAGACTTTCACTACCACATCTAAGATTCTCTAGTATTGCAGAGATTCCAAGACAAGATTATTTTTATTCTTTCACTGATGTTGCTAAAAGGATGCAATCAGTTTTGTGTTGTATGCATTTGCATGTTGTTTCTTCTTTGAGTAGTGTCCCTGTGGGTGCTCCGCTGCAGGGGTGCTTGTGTCTCAGCAGTACTGATTAGAGAACTTTGGTAGCACAGTCCATTGGGCTCGCACATTCACTCTTCTTCTGCTGCATTATGAAGCTAGCCAGTGCATAGGCTAACGGCCCTCAGTTCCTTTTCAACCACCCTGGCTAGAGACTGAGCCCTTAGCAGTGCATTATGTCTGTCATTTTTATTTATTTACCGATAGTTATTAGCCTTCTAGTTACAGTTCTAGCTACAGTTACAGTTTTCTCTTTCCTTGTTTTATCCTTAAAAATAAAAACCTTTATTTTTTCCCCTACCTTTGCCCCCCAGTCAAGTACCCTTCCCCAGTTCATTGGGCTTTAAGAAGTGTCTCATTTGTAAAGAAGCGCTCCTGATTACGGATAAGCATTCTGTGCATTTGCTGCCTTGGGGAATGTCTCACACAATAGAAATGAAGTCTTTGCCAACAGCTCTGGCCAAGATTTTGCAAAAGACAGAGAGCTCTGCCAATACATTATCTTCATGGAGTCAGCTCTTCCACTTCAGTGGCGTGTAGACATGCGTTTTCTGCACAGCCTTTAACATCTAAGGGCTGTGGGATGAAGAAGCAGGTTGACCCTTCTCTCAAATTGTCTGAGAGGGTAAGGTCTGGGATAACTTCAAGTGATTGCCATCTCTTTCCGTATCTTTGGCACTGAAGCCATCTTAGTGTTACCCAAGGTTTACAGAAACAGACAATAACCGGTCCTACTGGCAGGCTCAAGGGTCTGATGGGCACGGGCACAGAGTCATGGGCACTGAAGGACAGGAGTTGGCACTCCTCTAAAAAGAGGTGCACGATCCATGAGGCTGCATCACTAATGCCAGTGGTGGCTGAACTGACATGAGATGCCCATTTCTGCTGGTACTGCCACTGATGCCGGGACAATTGGTAGAGGTGAAACTTCATCATCAAGAGACCTCCACATGTTGGCTGCACCAGACTCTCCTCCTCTCAGTACCAAGATCTCTGCATCGAGCCTCTTAACCAAACACAGGAAATATCCCCGTAGCCATGCCATGCTCCTCTACCCTCTAGCGAGAGTTCAGACAGTACCCCAGAGGAAGTTGTGTTGCAGTAATTCTCCCAACTCTATATCATACTCACTACCAGCAGAGCCCAAGGATGCACTCACAGATGGCTCCACCCTGGTATGGCCATGCAAGGGTACCACCATCAGGATCTGTGCCACCACTATCCCATGGTCATATTGGGACCCTTGGGTAAACATACTACTTGAGTTCTGAGCTTACTTGAGAACAATGTTCCCTCTAATCTTTTCCATCCAAGTGCAGATTTTTTTGTCCATGTGTGGAATAAATTTTGTGCACACCAAGGCATGTGAAAATGTGCACCTCCAATAGAAACACAAAACTGCGCTGTAGGCGCTCTGTTAATCAATTGGGTAGCATTTGAATTTTTCCTGAGTGGCTGCACAGCTGCCAAGCTTACAGAGAACAC